AGTCAAGACAGATGATGTCCACAGCTCGATTATGGAGGAATGTAGGCCTGGGTATAGGGAGAGAAGCAAAGCTGTAAGGTCATTTCCAGTTACTGAGGTAGGGGAAAAAAAAAAAAAACAAAAAACCCTGAGCTGCTCCCTTCACATATCTCAACTCCTTAATTTCAATTGCAAAAAAGACAGTAACTACAAAAGACAGTATGAATACTGAGAACAAAAGGCAACCCTTTGTGTCCCTGGAACAGTTTTATAGCCTGTCCCCTGCTGCTGCCTTTCTGGGTGGGAGTCTGGGAGCGAGTTTCCACTGCTCTGGAGGCTGGCTTGCAAGAGAAGAGGCAGTTAAGACCTGCCAGGTGAATGGAAACACCCCGGCTGCATGGTGCAAAGGCAGGTGTGTCCATCACACTTAGGGATGTGCAGTTATGAATGACTTTTTTAATGGTCTGAGAATGAAATGAGAGAATGAATGAAATGGTCTCAGATGAAATGAGAGTTGTTTGATTCATAGTGTAGCTTATACATATATTGTCTGTAATATGCCTTTATCATGTGGCTGAGAGAGCAGAGACGAGATGAACATAGGGCAGTTTGCTGGAGGATTCTTCCTGTCGCTTCTTACTCTCAAGTTAGTATAGATACAAAGTTAACAATGTAGGGGTCAGGTCAGTCAAAGCCACAAGTGAGTTGGTCTTTTCCTTTGTGGTGTACAATTAAAAGAGGCTGTTAGCTTAATTTTCTTGATAATCCTTAAATGAAAGGACCATGTTCTGATTTGCTTATCTGTTTAGCAGTGAAATATTTCTGAATGGGTAATTCTGTTTGTAGAGAACTGGTATAGTTTTCTCAAAGTGTTAACAATTATGTAGAAATCTTCTGCCTATATTTTTAGAGGACCATGGACTGTACTAAAACACTGCTGCCTCCATTTATTGGATAAAGAGCACTATTGTTACTGGTAAGCAGTGAAAACAATTTTAAAGCATTTCAGCATTAATCACACAGATGTTGGGGTTTGTTGTTTTTTAGATATCACCTTTCAGATTTTTCAGGCTTTATCGAGTTACTGTTTCATTTGTTCTGCCCAGAGCTTGCATTGTGTTCATTGATGGCCAGATGATCTAGGCTTTTACTATGGACTAGCTTGGGGGAAGATCCTTACGGAGGGGCTTAAGAGCAGGCAATATTACATTTCAGCCATCCTTTTCCACAGCAAATAGTTGAATTCTCTTTTTGTTAGGGCAACCTAACTAATTCTGCTGGAGAAGTTGATGTAGGACCATAAAACCTGTGATGGTCGTGGTCTTCTAGGGGAAAACAGAGTTTGTTTAGGCTTGTTTGTCATCTCTCTTCTAAGAGAGTTAAGAATGTGATCATGATTGGTGATGGTTTGTGATTTTTTTCTGGTTTATTTTTAGGAAAAACACAGAAGCTTTGCCCCCAAAGCTCCATTTTCCACTTCTTTATAGCTCTTAGGAAAAACAGTGTTTCTGAAATATAATTACTGGGATCTTTGACTTTACAAATTACTTGTGTGACTTATTCTTCAGGTTACTATCGTACAGAAAGAGATAAGGGGACACAGTATGAGCTGTTTTATAAGAAGATGGATGGCATGGAATACAGGCATGTCACCTTGTTCCGACCTTTTGGACCCCTCATGAAAGTGAAGAGTGAAATGGTTGATATTTCTAGATCTGTCATTAACATTATTGTCCCTCTTGCTGGAAGAACAGAGGCATTTGCACAATTTATGCAAAACTTTAGGTAGGTGTATGAGATTATATAGTGAGCTATATTACTGATTTTCAGTGTTTTGTTTGCTTTTCAAAATGAACTTCTGTTCTGGTGGATTTGGGACAGAACTAATGATTCCAACATTGTGTGCAGCTGCCTTGGGATGTTTGTAATTGAACCTATTGGTTAGAGAAAACATTCTTTCTCAAAGGATTTAAGAAATTTTCAGATTGCACCAAAACCCCTCTTAGACCAAGTGCCAGGGTTGTTGTAAACCTGGACACATGATCTTGAACATCATTTTTGTATTTAAATCAGGACTTGAGCTCCTGTTTATAAAATAAGATGTTGGAACCTTCCGATTCAAATGGGAAAGATGGGGAAAGAAGAGCAAAAACATCTTTCCTTGTTTTTGGTAGAAGCTAATTGAAGTCTGACTAGGATATTTCTTTATGTTTATAGGGATGTGTGTATTCATCAGGATAAGCGTGTTCACCTCACAGTGGTGTATTTTGGACAGGATGGGCTATCAGAAGTAAAAGGCATCCTAGAATCCGTAGCTAGGTAAGTGTCGATCCAATGTTAGTCAACACAAATAATGCTGATAGGCATTTAAAAATGTTTTGTGCAAAGAATTAAATAATAAAAGGAAGACATCTATACTCCATTACAGGTTAATAGGAAAAGTAAGCTTTATTTACAGTATGCGATTTTTCGGCTGGCATTTTACAGCTTAAGTTGTAAAAGTCTCCTGAGGACTACTAAAATTCAAGTTACAGGCCAAAAAAGACTAACAGCAGTGGCTGTGGGGTTCTCTCTCACAGTCCAAATAACAGGGGTGAGTTTTTGCAGTGAATATTCAGCCATGCTAACAGACTGATCAGAATTAAGAGTTCTTTTGAACTGGGATGTGCAGTTTGATAGTTCCTTCAGTGGAGAATAATTTTTATTTCATGGTAAGGAAGAGAAACGTAGTCAGAGTAGGCTGCTTAGTCTGAGCAGTTAGGCTTTGTTCTCTGGCCACTAGGTAATTGAGCCCAGACTTACTCTGTGCTATAAAACAACTTTAAATACTGTTTTACTGCAGCTGTCTTAGCAGATAGCATTACAGTAGTATACTGTTTGCTAAGACAAATGTATTAGGCACAGGCTATTGTGTTGCTGGCTTAAAATGTGATGGTGATTTCGCCTGGTGAGCACAGACTTCTAGGAATTGAGGAATGCTTCTGTATTCCTCCTGCTGCAGAGTCTCCCTGACGCCTAGCTTGCCAATTGCTGGTCACCACTTTTTCTGAGGCCTCCCTGCTGCCTCCTGTGCTCCCAGTGAGATGTTCTCACAGCATTAAGTCAGATTCAGTGCTCTGAACTTGCTGGGCATTTATCTGGTTCATCTTCATAGTGGTGCTGCTGCTGAGTGTCATCATGCCATTCTCTGCAGGCATTGCCCTCAGGAGTCTTAACTTTGCTTGAACATACTCCCTGGATACATTTTCAGTTTGCTTTTGCTGCTCCTTCCCTCTTCTATGATGAGTACAGTTCTACTGGTATGAACTAGGAGAAACAAACTGAGTGGTTTATGGTGGCATCACCACACAGATGGCCTTTTGCCCCAGGTGTGGTGGTGCCAGGACTCTGGCGTTCTATTTGTCCTCCTGTCTGACGTAGTAAAGATAGAGCTATTGCTCTCTTAGTTTGTGGTGAAGAATTTTAGATGGCATTGTAATTTCAGAGAATGCTAATTTACATCAGCTGCCAAAAGGCATTTTTAACCTGAATTATTAAACATAAAGTGAAGTTACACAGCAAGACTGAAGTCTGTCTTTTTACAGTGTCTAAACTCTAATGCTTAAAGTAGGCAGCTAAGTGGAACAGATACTACTTCTCATTCTGATGATGTAATGGTTTTTTTTTAATTCTAGAATTAAATTTCTGTTAAATGATGAAAAAAGTATAAATAGTCCCTTCTGATTTATTTTGGATTTTCCTCTGTTTTTCTTCTAGAGAAACTGACTTCCACAATTATACCATGGTCTCTCTGAATGAGGAATTTAATCGAGGCCGGGGACTTGACATGGGTGCCAGAGCCTGGGAGAAGGGCGAGGTCCTGATGTTCTTCTGTGATGTTGATGTTTACTTCACAGCTGAGTTCCTCAACAGTTGTCGCTTAAATGCTGAGCCTGGTACGTTCCTTTGCAGTTGATTTAACTGGGTCTTGTTTTAAACTGACCTGTGTTGAGTACATAGAAAAATAACTGGAATGGTAGAGTTTATTCAAAACCATGAACCTAGGAAAATTAAGTACTCTGCACAAGAGACAATAGTTTTTAGACTGCAAAATAACTTTTACTTTAGAGTAGCTTGTTTAAAGAACACATTGGGCTTTTTGTACAGTAATCATGATTTTCTTAAGATTTGGCTGTCAAAAAGAAAGCTGGGCAGTTGAATTGCTTTAGCAATTAGACTGCATGTGTCTGCACAGCTGCTACAGCATGTAAGTTGGTATAACAAAACTCAGTGCAGCAGTTATGGTGGAAGATGATTTTTATTACATTGACATCTCCTAAGTTTTCTTCTCTCACTTACATGACCAAGATGCATCACATAAAAATGGTTTTCAGTGAGCTAGGTGCTTCTCACAGAGTCTGAACTCATGTTCCACACCTACATCCTAAGCTATGAAGTTTTCTGACCTCTTGTCTCCAGTTTCTACGAAGCTTGCTTGTTCTATAAGCTTTTTCCAAGCAGAATAAAGCTTTCCTGAGTTAACAAGTATGCTAATTAAGACTTTCTTCTGGCAAACATCTGTTTGGGTACTTTTTTAAATCCTTAATCTTATTTCAGATTGGTTGCAGCTAGAAATAATTTTTCTACCAAAGTCAGTTTGGAATTAATAGATATTTTTTCTTCACACAAGAATCAGACAAGAAAAATCTGCTGTAAGCCAGATATTTGGATTCTGTTTCTTGCTGTTTCTTTCATTTCTGTCCGTCTCTGCACTTCATGAAATGAGCTGTATTGGAAAAATTTTGGAGAGGAGTATCTCATGAGCTTTCACAATGAAGGGAGTTTGAGAGACTGGTTGACAATTCATACTGACAGTTTGTCACCTTTGCTTCAAGTGAGATCTGAAAATGTTTCTAACACCTTCAGAGTTCATGCCCAAATCAGAATGTTGAGTTTTCTGGTGGGCTGTTGTCAATACCTTTGCAGCACTGACAATACAAGAGATCCTTGAAAAATATTTATCTGACTTCTGTAATACACATAGAACTGGTGTCACAGCATAATCAGGGTACTTATGATGCTTAATGCCCTTGCAGGACACCCTGCGTGTAAAAGCTTTTGAATGCTTGTGGAAAGAGGAACACTCATAAAACTTAAGCTGTGCAAGGAGTTACTTGGACTTGGTTATTTTTTTAGCTTTACTGCATACCATTATTGCAGGGATTTCTCACTGTCATCTGATGTGATACTGTGAGATAGATAATATTTTATCTATGTAAGTATGTATAGCTATATATGCCTATAGAGTATAATATCCTGTGGGCTCTCCCTCACTAGATATTACGGGCTGCCTAAATGGGAAATCCTAGCAGTTAGACCTTATATTTTTCACTAGATGGCTAACAGCTAGTATTTTACATAAAGAAGATATTTCTGGTTTCTTCTTGCCTTCATTAAGTATGCACACAGTGAGTAACACTTACCTTTGACTTCCAGGGAAAAAGGTTTTTTACCCTGTGGTATTCAGCCTTTATAACCCTGCTATTGTCTATGCCAACCAAGATGTACCACCCCCCGTGGAGCAACAATTGGTAAGCAGCGTGAGCTATTCTGAATAGAATTAGTTGTGCTTTGTATTAAAACAAAATTAAGTGTAACTTAATAGCAAGTTTAGGATACCTTATGACATCTGGCAGTGTCTATCTGAACACTTTTCACTATTATGGTCAAAGCACTTGGAAGAAAAGCTTATCAAAAACCATTCTTAGATAACCTTGGAGTTCTATGCAGATTTCCTTTTTTAAAAAAAGTGATATTAATCAAGTGAGGCTCGTTGTTCTGATCTGTTACTTAATTGTGGCTTGGAAAGCCAGTGTTTTAGGAGGATAGTGGCATAACATGGCAGCAACTTTTGTGTTCCAACACACAAGTCAGCAGTGAAAAGAAAAGTCCTGTGAATGGTGCTTGGTAAGCTTTCATGAGCATCAGCTCCCTCTGCTAACTGCCAAAAGGTAGGTGCAGGAAGTGTGCCACGTAGCTTGAGGTGGGTTAAGATGGGCAGTCAGTTGCTTTCTTCACACTGTAGACATCTGTACTCTGTGCAGATTGTTTCTTTGTTTGCCATCCAACATCTGCCAGAACCATTGGCTGTTATACTGCTAATTGAATCTTCCTTCTGGAGTGAGGAACACTGCTTCGAAGGAAGGTTTTAGTCAAAATAATGCAAATGATTGAAAGAGCTTATTGAACTTTCTACAAAACCAAGTGCAATGTACCTCCCTCAGTGTATTTTGCATTTCAAAAGGATGTTTTAAAATTGCAGGTGCACAAGAAGGACTCTGGTTTCTGGCGGGACTTTGGCTTTGGGATGACGTGTCAGTACCGGACAGACTTCCTGGCTGTCGGTGAGAGAACTGTAGGAAAGCTTCTGTGTGTTTAAATCTGATTCTCTTTTCTTAACTAATTACAGGAAAGAGAAAGTAATGCGTTTATTTTTTCATTTTCCCAAGCCTAGCAGTCAGACTTGCTTGACAAGTTTGACAGATGAGATAAATTAATTTTTCTAGATTTTGATGTCCCACCTAATGAATGTTTGTTAAAATTATCAGTATTTTTTTTTGTGACTGTCTGAAGCAAATTAATCAAGTGTTATGTTCCTCAGGTAAACCACTGATGTAGACAAGAAGCTCTCAAATTCTTTCTTTTAAAAAACCCTTAGTAGTTGAAACCAGTTGTTGGAAGCTTTAGAACTGTGCTTGGTCACCCCCTTGTGGCCTTAGACATATGCTAAATGAAGACTTCATAATTCTAGCAGTTTGAAATTGTGCATGAGGCTGGTTTGATTTTTCACAATGGTCCTGGAAAGGCAAGAGAACTTAAAATGGTGGAACAGGTTCCTTGCCTTAATCCAGCTGTTTGAGCTGTGACCTATGGAGTAATTGCTGGCATTTTTAGAGAAGGCTTTTCATATGGTGCATGACTGTTCCATTTTCCAGCTGCTAAAATCCATTATGATTGCTAAAAATAACCCAAAAGCACACCAGTGAGGTTTGCCTGCAGTTTTCTGCAGCTGTCATGTGGGATGTCATACATAATGTGGTTTGGAGACACTGTTCTGAGAGACTTTCTGAAGCCAGCAGTGCATGGTCTATGTCCTGGGCAGTTTCCACCACAAAGGATGCGATGTGCTTGAAGCTCCTGTCCCTCAGTGAGGCGTTCTTTGGCATGGGGAACTCAAAGTTAATTGCTCCAGAACTTCTGTTATATGGTACCAGATTTGATAAAATGTTACACGAGGTGTGTCGCTCTTTTTGCCCTACATCTGCCCTGTGTGCGCAAATAACATTTTCTGATACTGTTTTTGCAGGGGGGTTTGACTTGGAAGTGAAAGGCTGGGGCGTTGAGGACGTTCATCTTTACAGAAAGTACTTGCACGGCGACCTGATCGTGGTCAGGACACCGGTCCCTGGTCTCTTCCACCTCTGGCACGAGAAGCATTGCGCGGACGAGCTGACGCCCGAGCAGTATCGCATGTGTATCCAGTCCAAAGCCATGAACGAGGCCTCTCACTCCCACCTCGGCATGCTGGTCTTCAGGGAGGAGATCGAGACGCACCTCCATAAGCAGGCTTACAGGACTAACAGCGAAGCAGTGGGCTAAGTGTCATTCCCGTGCTGTTTGATGACTTCACAATGAACCAGCATCATTTTACAGCCTTAATTCAGCTTCAAAATGCAGTGCCTCTCTTTTTCAGTGAAGAAGAGTTTAGAGGGTTTTGTTTCTTGTATTTTTCTGAGTAATTCTTTGACTGATATGCTGTTACCTACATATCTTGCAAGTTCAAGCACCTCAAATTGGAAAGCGTAGGTAGTTGAAGGAAAGTGTCTTCAGTATTGATTGGAGAAATCAGTGGAGCGTACAGCTGAACTCCTTTCCACATTTCAATTCTTATATTTGCATTATTTTTAATAATTAAACTAAATAATCTTTTGTGTTGTCTTTAGTATTTTCAGTCTGTATGGCTCACTGCACTGTGACTTTACATTTCATTGTAGAAACAAAAGAAAGGAGTGAAAAAGAATCTTACTGTGAAGGGTGTACAGGATGTGCTGACTCGTGTATCAGCTGTTCAGGTCACTGATTCCACAGCAAGGGCTTGCTGCCTTGTTTGCTGTGTTAACAGATATTCACATAGCTGGATAAAGAATAATTTGTGTGAAGGGAGGGGATGAAAATCTTTTAGAGTGGAATTTTAGACCATATAATGTAATTTCACAATGCAAAAGAGACAACATGTTATCTTGGTGATGGATCAGACAAGTCTGGAACATTCCAGTTGGGTGTTTCTGGGTCTGGTCTTTTCCCACAGTAGATGCCACATGATAGAATCCCTTCTATAAACTGAGGTATGCTACTAAACTCATTTGTTTAAAGATTTTTGGCCCCACTCCTCAAATGCTTTGCCTGTACATCTTGTCCTTTAAGTTAAGGAACCATCTTTTCACTCCCATATAAATTTGTTAGAGGCCCATTTGCTATTATGCCAATCTTGTTCTTTTGCTTTCTTTTTCTCTATCTAGCATTTTCCTGACATGTTTTCCCACAGCAGATGCTACATCACAGAATCCCCTCTGTAGCTGTTTCAGTGACTGAAAAGCCAAGTGCTATTACGATCTTTCTTCATGCAGTGCTCTCCATTCCACTGACTTTTCCTAGTAGCCTTATTCCTCACTTTTTCAGTTTTAAGAGGTTTTAGGTTTGGAGGTTTTTCCTGGTTTTTTTTTTAGCGTGCATAAGCAGAATTATGCTGTGGTCTCATTAGTGCCTTGTACAGTGGCACTACTACTTCACTGTTTCCTTTTTGGGATGCATAAACAGTTTAAATGCAGGCAGGTAATTTTTCTCCATGTTGTCTTATATGCTACCATATGGCATTCCTCATTTTTAATACATTTGTGTGTAGAATGAATGCTGAGAATGTTAATTCAGTGGTTAAACCATTTACATGGTCTCCACTGAATTTAAAAAGAGTTGGAAACCCTTCTCAAACCAGGTAATTAAGATCTGTAATTCTGTTTACTTAAGGAATTCTGAAGGCAACTAAAGATTAAAACAGCTGATTTCTGAATAGCAGATATGCTGTGCAAGTAGTTTTGGGCACTGATCCTTTTTATATGTACATAAAATATGCCTGTATGTAACTTATTGTGGAGAACAGTGTACTCTATTGTACTTGGAGTGAAGAGAATGCATTGCAAGACTTCTTGCAATTGACATTCTCAATATAATAAATGGAATTTCTTCATTTTAAAAGTTGGTTTAAGCTGTTTATTTAAAATACATTTTTACAATATTTTACAAAGCAGATGACACACTGGATTTAGGTAATAGTAGTTGCCCTGAGAGGTTCAACCAGTTCCCTTTTGCATCTCCAGTGAGTATCTACACAGATCAGATACAAAAGTGCAGAGTTAGTTAAGTTAGACAATTTAAACTTACACCAGATGTTATCTTACTTTAAGATGATCTTGGTGGTTCCTAACAAAAATGATAAACTACTAGTAAGGAAAAGTTTAAATACATAGGTGTGATGATTTGGTGTAAAGTTGTAAGTTGGACCTTCTGCTGAGACTCCAGCCCTTAAAACTTCAGCTACTGCTGCTGTCCTGGCTCTGCTGCACAAGAATAAGCATCAGAAATGCCTTTCACTGACACCATCAGTGCCTGGAGTGGGCTGGAATGGATACTGAGATACTGCAGAGGTGATAAGCATTGCTGCAGCTCAGCTCTTACTGCTCAGCCACGACCCCAGAAGGATCCAGTTGTCCTCGTTTCTGTGTGTTGGAAATACAGCAGAGTGCTGATGCTGATAGTCAGATCTCTTCTGCTCTGTTCCACTGTGGTGTCGTGTTTATCAGCAGTGGTGAGAGAGGAGAGCAGTGTCAGCTGTCCACATCTGTGCAGTCAAAGGTGGTCTATGATGTTGATGCTGGAAGGCAATCAAGGTTTGAATGCTGAATGCATTCAGCAAGAGCCACTTCTGAAAAAAATTTTTTCTGTTCATCATCCCAGAATGTGAAAGTGAATGCCTTGGAGTTAAAAGGAAGTCAGAACTCTTAGAAATAGCTGATGTCAGGGTTGTGTATTGAGACAAGTAGTCCGAATGTTTGATTATTGAGAACCTCTGAACTCTCAGGGGCCCTTGTGGGCCTGATCTTCAGCTTGTCTTGGCTCCCTGCAGTAACTGGCTGTGTGAGAGCACATTGCTGTGGCACCCATCAGCTATCTGTCTGATGGGTGATAGGCAACTATCACCCGTTTCATTTGTTACAAAAACCAGAGATACTGCTGTGGGCTGTGGGCTGTGTTACATCAATATGAGGTACTCGGAGCCTGATGGTAAGAATAAGAATCATTCTAAGCATTGAATCTCCTCAGCTGTTTTTTGCTGCTGTGTGGTACTGCATTCGGTACACATGCCTTACTGCATGCACCTGCAGGGAAGATGCTTTTACTGCTAGCAGTCAATCTGTAGAATATTTACAGCAGGAAAATACTTGGCTCTAATAGTGCTTTACAGGTTGCAGGGTAACTTGCTGACAAATTTGGTATCGGAAATTAAATTGGTTACTTAAAAGCTGTTATTCATGCTTTAAAATCTGCACTTCCAGGGAATTACTATTGATAATGTACAGTTCCTGTTCACTAATGACTTATTTTACCTACTCATTTGTCTCTAAATTATTATATAATTAGATTTAAAATTTCAAGTAATTACCTTAAACTTACAGTTTATAATTAAATCTTAAAATAGGGAAATTTTATTTTAATTCTCAAGTATTTTAACTTCTGCTTTTGGGCTAGGCTACAGGATTTGACTATTTAGTTAAAAAGATAATAAAAATTCTTACTTTGAATAAAGATTATATCTCAATTAATTAATAGGTATTTTTTCAAAATAGGATGCAGTGTTTTCCTGTGAGCAAGGCCCTCACTGCACTGAATTAACTGGTGAATGACATGGGTGGATTATTTTGTATATTTTAACAGGGATTCCTCCAGAAGAAAGCAGGATGAAGAGAGCAGGTTGAGACATAGAAATTGCAGAGAGAATGATTCTGTTTGGTGCACTGCTCCAAGTCATTCCTATCTATACAAATATGCCATAAGATCAATCACATGACGACTGCTTTCCTGCTCCTGCTCTGCTTTTCATCAGTCTTTGGGAGTGCTTCTGGCAAAAAGGCCTCTGGAAGTGCTTTACTTTTCCTCCCTCTTCTGCCATGGTCTGGGGCAAAGGCCTGGGTAGAGCCCCTCTCCAGGAGCCAGGCTTTGCAGCTGTCAGTCACTGCTGCCTTATCCCAGGGTAGCTGATGAAGTGTCGTCTTTGCGGCTGCACACGACAGCGACGCTTCAGTGGTGCCCCTGAGTGGTTAGCACAAAGCTCAGTCACTGACCAGCATTGGTCAGAAAAATGTACACCTCTGGAGAGCGGTTTGTTTTCCCCTAGTCCATAGCATACCTAAAAAGTCACATGTGCTCTATAAATATAGCCTGAGAACCTGTATGGCTCTTTTCACCTCTTTCAGTCTCACGCCATATTTCTTGTACTGTGTTTCATCTCTATGTGCTACTTCCTTATTAAGCCAGTCTATTTTTAATTTGGTATGGCTCCTCTCTTGCTTCTTCCAGCTCAGTTTTAAAGCCTTCAGCCTCTTGAAAGCTCCAATCCTGGCTCTTCTGTGATGTGGGAGCCGCTGGGGGTCTGATCTGACTGAGCTGCGGTGGGGCTGGGTGGTGCTGCCTGGCAAGGGGAAGTCCAACAGCCAGGCACTGAGAGGAGGAGGTGCAGGAGCTCATCTCTGCCATTTACCAGCTCTGAAACGTGGCTCTAAACCACAAAGAACTCTATTTATGAACTCTGTACTGTGGATCATTTTTTTCTTATATTTGTCATAACATTTTATGCTGAAATGCAGTAGACTGTTATGGCAACATGAAGTTCATGGCAAAAAGCAGTGATTCAAGAGCATTAGCCATATTCGGTGTTTGGTCACACACCGCTGCTTCTGCTCTGTAATGGAACTAGAAAAATAGTAGGATATGCCTTTATTATAAAATGAATTTACAAGTAATTTCAGCTACCTGAGTGTATTGACCTTCTGATTGCATTTTGGCATAGGCACTCTGTGATAAGAGCAGGTACTTGTGTACAGCCATGTAGCTGTCCTCTGCTTACTGCCGGGTGCTGTGACGCAGGGGAGGTTTGCTCGTACCCAGTAAAACATGTAGCTCTTCCTTGGAGGTGTTTTCTAACCTCATCCAAGAAAGGGAGGAAATTAGTCATGCTTCAAATATGAAAATCTCTCACTTGAATAATAAAAAAAATCTGTTCTGCATGTTGCTTTAGGCATAAATCTGGCTAAATGACTGGAAAGTGTTAGCTAAGTGTCTAGTCTCAATCGTTTAACTGGTGGTGGGGGACAGCACAGCTGACACTATTCCTGTGTGGATCTGCAGCCCTGTGTTGTCCCTTGGGCTGCAGCCTGTGCAAAAAGTACAGCTGCCAGGATGGTGGGAACTGGGAACGGGGTGGCTGAGGGATGCAAACTCAGCATCACCGTCCTCCCCGCTGGCTGGCGTGTGCCAAGGGAGCTGCCAGCTGCCCGTCCTTCTCCGTGGGAGCCTTGGTCTCAGTTTGCTCTCTGCTTCAGCAACAAACATGGACCTGAG